TGAAAATGCTTATTGAAAAATTGTTACTTTATTTCAAATTATATAGGGTAATTAATATGTTACAAGAAAGAATACTGTTCACTGCCAGACTTTATAGATTGTTAGGTAATGTATATATTGAGAACCTTTTTTGATTACGTCCCTGTGGGATATCATAGGACTTTCCAGAACTGGCATCTGTAAAGTACATGGGAAGTTGTCATGGAATACGAGGAAGCTTCTTCAGTGTACCACATCTGTTATTCCATTGAGAGCTTGCTTTTGGTTGTTTTCTCCAGGTTAAAAAAAGCTTTAAAGGTGGTATTAGATATTGATGTATCATTATTCAGCTTGAAGACTTAATGCATTAATTTGGGGTGATTTCTGTCATCTCTGCATCTCGTCATTAGTCGTTCTTACAACCTCAATTCTCCATTTTCTTATCAAAAGCCTCTTTGCATTGGCAACTAAATGGATAGCACATAATAGTGCTATTTAGTCTATTCAAACAATTCAATCTGGAAACAAAGAACTCTGACTTTAAAGGAAGAAATGTGTTACAATTTTTATTTTATCCTTTCTTTTTGTTCTCTCATACATTTGCCATTATCCTTTTTCAGTCTCAGGGACATTCACTTTCTCTAAAAATTTGACTCTTCAAGGGAAACCAGGCTTCCATTCATACTTCAAAGCAATCTTGAAGTTCTAACAAAATCAGTTTCTGACACTTTCAAAATTCACGAATATTTGCTTCATTTTAGGTTTTAAATATCTTTTCCAGCCATTTTGGTTTGTGTACTTTATAACACTTGTAATCCAAAGAGTGTTAGCAAAACCGAAAGAAGGATAGAAGGATGGTTAATTAAATTAAGTGTATACTGAGAGCTCCCTGGAGAGTGATGTTCCACTTTCTGGCAACTCTGGAGGTTTCAAATCTTGTTGCTGCCTTCCTTTGCTTTGAGGAGAGAACAAAACCATTAAAACATCTTTGCAAAATAAGATGTGTTGAAACACTTGTTAATGGAATACTACTTTAAATTCTTTCCCTTGAAATGACCAGAGAGTTTGTCCCAAAACTTTCCAGGGAAAGCCATATACCTCCTTGAAATATTTTATCCTTAAAACAATATGTAGCTTCTAACGTAATTCAATTTTGTTGAGAGTGTTCTAACAACATCGAATTCTAATTCCATGTGCTGCTTACTTTTCAGGGACTTTTATATGGCTTTTAAATTACTTCATATGTTACCACTCACAATTTTGACTACTCTTTTTGCAGTTGCTTGTTGCAAATTAACTGACAGCAACCAAACCAAGCAATTAACACATTCCCACTGCAAAATATCTAGGATACACATGGAATTTGTGGGATAGGAGGGCCCAGAAATGTTGCTAAAATAACAGTCAGTGGTTTTAGATGATAAAGGACTGTCTATAGGTATTGGTTGTTTTTTCTTTCTCCCCCTCTTTGCTTTCTCTTTCTTTCATTTTCTGCACTTTTTCCTTTCAGGTGGAGATGTGTTTTAGGAATGATAAGTAAGGTGTGACAGGGTCCGCGTGCTCTGCAGTGAAGTGTTAAGGATACTGTGCCACTGTAGGATACTGTGTCAAGGACATTCTTTGTCAAGGACACTGGGCCAATTTTCATTTTCAGTTATTTTACTTTTCAGTTAAAACTCTTCTAACTAATGGCCCTTTCTGAAATTAATGGCATATTTTTCAGACAGTATCTGCTTCTAGTAGATAAGGTCTGATGTTTATAGTTAACACCAAGGAATGGCATGCAGAGAGGCTCTTGCTTATACTTACTGCTGTAACAACCAAGGCCAGCTAACTTTGTTAATGCACCAACTTGGAGGGTCGGAGGCAGAAGAGTGTAGCAGGGTTGCACCTGTGGGGAAGAGGAGCGGACAGGGCAGGTGACCCAAAACTGACCATCAGGGTATTCCATCCCATCTGCATAATACGCAGTATAAAACCTGAGGGATCAAAGGGGTCAAGCTTTTCTTCAATGGCCAACATCTGAGGAGCCAGCCTAAATCTTGACAGAGTTAATTGGTGCCCAACGTGGGGTCCTGATTGAAGACAAGCCTTTGAACAATCTCTTGCTCAATTTGTTCAAAGGCTTGTTGCTCAAAGTTTAGGCTGGACTGGCCACTAAACAAATGACAGATGCTCTCTATTAACCCCTCTCCCTTCCCAGAATGGGAATGGGAGAGAGACTTATGGGTTGGGGAAAAAACCTAAACAGCTATAATGAAATAGTAACAATAAAAAGACAGTAAAATTAATAGGAAAATAATGAAATATATACATATATACAAAATGAATATCAAACTTGGCAAACAAGTTCTCATCAGCAACAGATGAGAACTGGATTCAAGAACCGGATTCAGGAATGCATGGATTGGGTTCAAAGACAGAAGAATGGACAGAGTTGTACTTGGATGCCGGCCATTGAAGAGAGAGACTGACCCTTTGATCCCTCAGCTTTTATACTGCGCATGATACAGATGGGATGGAATAGCCTGATGGTCAGTTTTGGGTCACCTGTCCTGTCCATTCCTTCCCACAGGTGTGTATTTGCCACCATGCAAAATATGGTTTATGTAACAATCAGGCCTTCACAAGACAAGGAATATCTTTCCACAAATATAAAGTACTTCAAATTGATGGGTTTTTGTTGTCTATTGTACGAGCTCCTTGGAAACAAGGAATTTTTTGTTATAGCTGATATCAGGTTCTTTTGTGGGAAGAAATAAATGGTTTCTTAATGATTTCTGAAAGCCGAACTGTGGTTATAATATGTCTTGCAGCTCAGCCCAAACAGAGAAGAGAAAGCAAGAGAAGGCTTTTGTCAAGAGAAAGAAAACCTTGGTTGTACTTTTGCTGTTCAATAAGAGATGTTCATGGTAGCTGTATTTTCTGTGAATTTTTCTTTTCTATCTTTTTATCTGAAGTTCCTAGATCACTGTTTAAACTGCAGTTCAGGATAAGATAAGCAAATATTAATTTTATTTGTCATTTGAGCTTGCAAGAAGTGGGGTGAGTGTTAATAACTGACTTGCTATGAAAGATGTTCCAAGCTTCTGCAAGGCTGAGGGACTGATAAATGAAATACATCTCTCTGAAATTCAAAGGACTTTATGTGGACAGAAGTGTGAAACAGGATTAAGCAAGAAGTAGTAGATCGAACGCAAATCTTTTTGGCAAAATGTATATACCACTTAAATAGATCTCATGATTATAAAGTTGGTTAATTCTGCTGGTTTTCTTTTAAATGTTATCATTAACTCCCTTCTGAGTTGTGTCCCCCTGCGTAGGAAGATTCAACCCTTAAAATCTACAGTAGAGTAAAATTGTTCGATTCTTACTTTTATAAAAAATAATTTCATTTTTTTCCACAGTGATTTTAGATACCAGGATCCTATCGTCTTCTCCCAATATGGGGTATGCATACTAACGGTTTTGCTACAAAACACGCATTGTTGCCCAGTCCTCTCCATTGTATTAATTAGACAGGACTTTGTTAATGTTGACTGTGCCTGATGATTGCATTGTCTTTTAAATGTCTTTGAATAACATTATTGCCCACATGATTGCATAAATCTATGGACACTTCCCAGAGTTCTGTGGATTCTCGGTTCTGTAGGATTCTGTATACTAGATTTAGTTGTACTGGTACAACTAGAACTCTTTGCTAGCAGTTCCAGTTGTGCCCACAGATTTCCAGCTAGAGTATCAGAAGAGACTTGAATCTGTCAATCTGTCCTTGGTAAAAGCTGCAGTAACCAAGTTCCAACATATGCCATATCTTAGGAGCATAAAATGTCAATCAAGGGCAGCCAGTCTGTTGAAAAATCTTTGCAGATAGTATTGTGCATGGGCCAGCAGTGGTTTGCATAGGTGCTTTTGCATCTATTGGCATTTATTTTTTTTTCCCCCTTATCCTCAGGATTCCTCCACTGGAGAGCTTGACTAATTTTATAGTCATTCCAGCAGTGTGGCTACAGCAGCCACTACTAATATATGACAATCTGGATGGTTTGGGAGATATATATATATATAGAGAGATATAGATATAGATATACATGAAGTAGTTTTTAGAAAATGGATTCTAAATTATTTTTCTCCTACTTCATTAAAGGTATTTCTGAAGCTACTGCAGGATTCAGAGAAGATGCCTTATGTTCCACCGTCATCACACCTGGACCATACAAATGGTGCTGAATCAGCCTGTAAGTAGAAAACTTGGTACCTTCTGAAGCAGCCAGATTTATAAAGATCACAATCACAAAGATAAACGTGCACAAAATTCCCAAAGTCAAGGAATGCACAAGTAAATGGAGAATACTGCCGGCTACCACCTGGTAATTCTTATTTTGTGCATGTGACATGATCTACTTTTTTAAAAGTCTACTGTGATTCACCTCTGTATTACTTCATAGCCATCTTCCCACCCTTCTACTATGTGTACACATGCACACAAGCATTCTCTCAATGCATCGGCATTAATGTACTACTTCCTACCAGTCTCCGGCAACTAATTACTGTCTTTGACTCCTACTGACAATGGATAAACGTTGCTGACATATACCACAGATATAAAATCTGTAAGCTATTAGAAAGGGGTATTCATCTCCATCCAAGTGCAAATAAATAAATAAATAGCTGTTGCCCCTCATAGTAAAAGATCATTTGTCCTCTAAAGTGGCACGTTCTTTCATGTTCCCTTACATGTTTGTTTGTTTTAAAACAAATTCCTTTGTGCTTTCTATTTTCCTGCCATGCAAGCCTGGGAGGAGGTCCTTGCTAACATTTCTGAAACCTTAGGAACCTTGTTCTCTCTTAGAGAGAGAAACTCTTAGAAGCCACTAATGTGGTATCTTGCAAAAAGCAAGACTCAAGTTCTCTAATGGCAGTGCCCACCAGGCTCATCAATATTTTCTTATTCTTCCTGGGATTCTCATGCTTCTACACGTACCACGTTTCTTGGGCAACCTGGTCTAGTGAGGTGTCCCTGCCTATGGCAGGGGGGTTGGAACTCGATGATCTCCAAGGTGCCTTCCAACCTAAACCATTCTATGATTCTATGATTTATATCTAGATTACAATCTTCTTCGATTAGTTGTCAAACATTTTGTTCTATATGCAGTACTTTTTGTTTTGTTTCTATAGAACACAAACACAGAAAGGTCCTGGTCTGTGACTGAAGACCTGCATTGTTACAGTAATGGAAATAATAATTTTGAACATAGCTTGTGTTATTTGTTAAGATAAATTCAGGTAGATCTGCCAGTAAGGAGTAATCAATCAGTGCCAAGAATTGTGGCCTAAGATGAGACCTTCTGTCACAAAGTGCAAAGTTGACTGGATGATTTTTTCCAGAACGTCTTTTTGCTAGACCATTTCAGTCCCTGTTGAGTCAGTAAAGATGTAACTATAGAGCAAAATACCCTCACTACGTAAATAAAATATCCACTCCTGTGAGTGGTGAGAACAAGATGTCTATTCAAAATACAGCTTTGAATGTCCCTTTATTTTATAACAATCAGCTGTGTATTTCTTCAAGGCTCAGCTAGGATATCCGAAACAATTTCAAATCAAGACAGTCTGTCTTCTCCACATTGCATTTTCATTAAAGAGTAAGATTTAGAGTACCTAAAGTAATGAAAACAGAGTATACTGTACCTAACAAGTTGATATCTTTTACCATCCACATTTCAGAACACATAACTTAGTATTTGTTCAAGTTATTACATTAATAAAGAATCTAGTAATCTGAGACTGTAATTTTCAGTCTGATAAATTATAGCAAGAAAATGTGATGATAATGCCATTTCTTTGGGGATGAGAGTACTGGAAAATTGTCGTTTGTTGCAGATGACTGTCATTCATCATTAAGGACAGTTGTGAAGTGTAGGCATAAGGGATCTGGGAAATGGTCATGAAAGGTATCCATCATTGTCAAAGCTAACTAGAATACTCCATGGGCAATAGCTTGACCTGTATAATTTTGTCTTTGAAAGCAGATTCAAAGGCAGTCAAACTTTCTGTTATCAAAGTAGTCAAATGAATTTTCAAAACCCCCTAGAGCAAACATCTGGGTTATTGAGAAGATCACAGGATGCTGCTATTTGATTTGTAAAAGAATTTGGATTAGAGAGCTGCTTTGACAAAGCATGGATATGAGCACAAGCAGGGGTATTGGCTATCCTTTACTGGTGCTGAGCCCTTGAAGCATCAGGATTGTGTAGACATCAAAATTTTGTCTCTTGTCTCCCAGAATGCAGTGTAGTGTAGATGTGTAGTGGAGCAGTGTGCATGTCCCTTCTTAAATGAAACTGCAAAAAATAAGTACATGATTTAGGCTAATGACCAGTGCCAAAACAAGCAAGAGACACCAGTTCGGCAAAATATGACAGTATTTGACGGAAGTCAGAGACCTGACAATTTCTAGTTATGTTTTACATTGTCTTATTTTACTGGGTCTGGCTGAAATGGAGTTAATTTTCTTCCTAGTGGTCCTAATGGTGCCGTGTTTTGGATTTGTGACTAAAACAGTGTTGATAACACACTAGTGTTTTGGCTGCTGCTGAGAATTACTTGTAGTGTCAAGGCTTTCTCTTTTTTCCCATTCTGTCCCCGCTCCCTGCTGTGAGTAGGCTGAGGGTGAGCAAGAAGCTGGGAGGGGATGTGACATGGGCAGCTGAGCCAAATTGACCAGGGAGTTATTCAATGCCATATAGTGTCATACTTAGCAATAAAAACTGAGGAGAGGTTCTCTGTGGGGGAGGTAACCATTGCTACCAGACAGGCTGAGCATGAGTCTCCTTGTGGGAGGTGGTGAGTGATTGCCTTTGCATCGCTTGTCTTTTTATCGGTTTATTTTTTCTTTCTTTTTCCTTCACTTCTTAAACTGTCTTTATCTTGACCCACAAGTTTTCTCATTTTCTCTCTTCCTTTCCTCTCCCCCATCCTGCTGGAGGAGGGGGAGTGTGACCGAGCAGTTGTGTGGTTCTTAGCTACTGGTGAGGGTCAATGCACCACAATAACATAAAATAAACTCAGAATTATATTACCCTTTCTAAATGCAAATATTAGTGGTAAGTAACAGTCCATTAATTACATTAATTGTAACACTTTTAATATTGGTAACTTTAAAGATACAAAGCACACTGTCTAATTTCTATGGGTTTAAGTTTTCTATGTGGAAGGTTTGCTCGTAATTTTGCGTTTTATTCCAATGAAAAAAGCTTGGAATAAAACTCACCTTTTGGTAAGAACAGTTAAGATTTTCTTTTTAAGTCAGGGAATGCCTATGTGTGCAGGCATAACACATGCATATATTATAATACAGACGTTTATAATTATTTTCTTCACAGCTGGGGCACACGATTGATGGTTATTGTTTTGTAGATGTATACAGATTATGCCAAAAAAAGGTTAGACTGAGCTTGCAATGGCTGCATGACAAAATCATTGGAGCCAAATAGCCTTGAGAAAATGGAGAAACCAACTCTATGGAGTCTAATGAAATGATCATAAACTACAGCAGGAAGTATACATACAAAAATAATCTGGAGAGCTAAGAGCAAGTCTAAGAGGTGACTATCTAACCATGGATAAATAACAAAATGTTCTGAGCATATGCAAAAAAAGGCAATAGGCTACAGAGTGGGTGCATTGGATCATTAAGGGACCAATACTGCAGAATTAAGATATTCAGATATCTTGCTGAAGAGCCAAATGAATTAATTTTGTAACATTCTACATCTTAGAAACTTTTGGGAGATATCAACATTGGATCTATTCTCTTCTGGCAGTAAAATACAGTTGGAACCTGAGATATAGTCAAACCAAACAGTAGAAAATTCAAAATGGATAAAATTAAGTTTTTCACACGGTGATACATATAATTTGAAATTCATTGCCGTAAAATGTTATGGAGACTAAGATTGTGGTAGTATGTTTAAAAAAGCCAAAGAGCAGTTATTAGTGTATATATAATGTGAATAGCTATAGTTACAGAAGTGCTATTAAAGCTTATGTCTTGAAGTTCTTCGATAAGTTAGCCAATGAAAGTGTTGACGTGGAAGCAAGTATATGCATAACTATGTTTTATGGTTTCTTAAACCTTTCTCTGAAGCAGCTGGTGTTAGCCATTTTGAAATATACTGGGCAAAATGTTACGTTGTTCCTATTAGGATTTAAGAGATCAACAATATACAGTACATAAAATGAAGATCTGAAAGGTAATTTTGTTAAGAAATTGTAGCTGCCAAAAAGTAGTCATCAATAGCAAAACATCAAACTGAAGAGCTTTCAGTGAATTTTCATTGGGTTTCAACTCTGCCTTTTGATTATTTTCATAAGTGGTACTGAAGTAAATATAACCTTATGAAAAATAACAAAAAGTGTGACTACTGCAAGGAATTGGTAGAATGGTAATGAGTCAGACCAAGCCTAAAGAATGAGTTAGATCACTTGAAAAGCTGAATCTATTCTACATAAAGTGTGTTTCAATTAAGCCAAATGCTGGGCAAATCTATGTAATGGGGAGTAATATTCTGGAAAACACTGGCTTTGAAAGTTACCTACTAATCCTGGTGAAAAAACGTTTTAAGACAGTGTGGCTAAGTTCATTTATGTTTCAATTTAATGTACGAATTGATGTGAAGAGGTCATTTTGACTATCAGAACAAAATTGATGAGACTGATTCTACAACTTTTGTGTCCATGTTTTTAAATCTGAATGTCTTTAAGGAAAAGTTGAGAATTTGGAAAGGGAACAGAGAAGAATTAATATTGGTGGTTGGAGGTGAAGTCCTTGCAAAGGCACCATCATGGCTCAGCTCACAGTTTATCAAAAAGTAGATAGAGAAGTGGTTTGCTTAAAAAGACCAGGTTTATTTAATGTGTAGAGAACACTGTCTATTAAAGAATAGTTCTAAATTTTCTAGGGTCAGAAGTGGAAGAAATAAGTGAAATAGATATCTGGAAGCTAAAGGCAGGCACTTCTCCTACAGGTTAATTAACACCTGGAGTTAGTCTACCCAGGGAGGTATATTCCCTCTCCTGTTGCATTTAGCACAAGGTTGGGGCCTTTGCAGAAAATATGCAACAGCGAAAGGTGTTATTGATTTCTGCACGTGGGTAACAGAGTGGAATTTGATGTCTGTTGATAGGTGATCAAGTGATTTCTCCTATTTGTAGAGAGGAGCTTTTAATTCACTAT